CTTAAGTTTCATTTTGCTTTCTATTAATGAAAACTGACTTTTTTTTTTGTGGGAGTGGGGGGGGGGGGGGGAGTGATGAGGAGAAAGGAGATGGAAAGTTCCCAGATCTATGATTTCCTCATTAGAGGGAACACTTGGTATGGAAACTCCCTTGCTAATGCAAACAGATGACTCATCTGTGATTTAAAATTTTGTCTTTGTATCCCAGTACCTAAGCATTTAACAATTGCCAATTGAATAATTATAATCTCAAAGTCACTAGAGATTAAGTGACTTGCCCATTGTTAGGTGGTTAGTATTTATCAGAGGCAGAACTACATCCCTGGTCTTTTTGACTCCAAGACTGATTCTACCACATGTCATTTCTCCCCTAGCACCTTGTTATAATATGATAATATTTATGTAACTCTTGACAGATTCAAATGCTATCCCCACATCTCTGGGAGGTGAGCCACAGATCAGTATTCTTTCCAATCTGTAGCTGAGGAAAATAGAGGCACAAAGTTAGAAATGGAATTTGAAACCAGGTCTTTTGTCTTTTATTCTATTCCTCTTTCTACTACTCTAAGCTGCGTTTAATTTGATATTAAGCAGATTTTCCTTGGACTTCATACCTAGAAAGTTATTTATTAAAGTGCCCCAAAGTATTTCCTTATAGCCATATGGCAAAAAATCCCAAGGATACTGATGGGGGGAGGCTAGATTGGATTTCCATATGGCCCTGATAAGTGCCTAAGTACCTTTTTTCCTGGAGTGAGAATGTTATCTCTGGGAAAATATTCTGATTAGACTATGGATGACTGAAAGAGACTCATCTTTTGCCTCTCCCTACTTCACTCGTTCCCCCCACCACTATCCCTGACCTCAGTCTACTAGTCCTGACTTGTTTCTTTGATCAATTATAGAATATTAGCCTATAATACTCAGGAGCCTGGTAGTAGAAAGCAAATCTTCATGAACTGAACTAAGTATAATATTGGGCATCTCAAACACTCCTTAAAAGTGTGTTGTGATTTTCTTGAAATTAAAATTTGATCTCTCTCTCCCCCACTCTCTCCCCCCTCTTTCTCTCTCCCTCTTGATCTCTCTCTCTCCCTTTCTGATCTCTTTCTACATACACACACACACACACACACACACACACACACATCTATGGTGGGGAAAAGGTCACATGGTAGGGTATAATACTACTATTTAGGAAAAGAAAACTCAAAAGGGCCGATATCTTTTTCCTAATGAATCTCTTTTTCTCTACCTTTGCCTATTGCCAGGTCTGTCCACCTTTCTCTCTGTCATAATTTTTAAATGCCCTTTTATGTAATCAGAGAGAGGCCTCATCTAAAATAGAGCCTTAGGAGGCCAGCGAGACTCTCTATGAGGGCCTCGGCTTACCTGCCCTTCAAAAGTTCTTTCTCACAGGCCTGAGCTTTCCAGGTTTCAGTTTTGCCAGTAAGAATAAGCACTTATGATGGGATTTCTTTACTTGAAGTTATATTCTTAGATGGGCCCATGTCATGTGGAGGCAAATGGGAGAGGAGGAGGATGTTACTTGGGCTGGAAATAGCAGTGAGTTTCTAAATCAGAAGGTACAGGGAATGTGGGAAGAGCTGATTTTCTTGAATTTTCTCTAAACTCCATCAACTTCTCCCTGTACTGGGAGTTTTCCACACCCACCATCAAAAGAGATTGGTCTCCTCAACATCCCTAGGAATTGATTTGTATTTTTACTTCCAAACAATAAACTGGGTGATAGAGATTGGTATGGGGGAGGAAAGAACCTAGCCTAGTGGAACTGTAATGTGTTGCATAACTTTCTTAACTTACCCTATGCTTAGTTTTTTCTAGTGTTGTTACCAATGTTATAAGTAGTGTTGCACCCTCACCAGAAGTGCACAGGCTTTACATTCTAGGATTATCACTATTTTTCCCCCTTTGCTGAAAGGTTTCAGATCCTCTAGTGGAAAAGCCTAGTTGACACTTCTGACAGATACCTAGGAGATGTTCGAGTTTCTGACATTGCTTGCTCTCCCTGCTATAATTATGTGAATGCTAAAGTCACATCTAATTGACCGTAGACGATAGGAGATGCAACTATTTGGTGTTTAATTGTAAAGATTTCTTTTTATATGCAAATAAGAGTGCATCAGTGGAATGACCCAAGGCATTTGGATTATGTTCACTGACATAGTATCATCTAAAAGTCATTGGGAGAAGATGCTTTCTGAGATGGATTTTTTTTTTAAATTTATTGATTATCTTGTTTTGATATCATTTACATTTTCCATTATATTCCTCCCCCTCTTAGAGAGACATCCCTTATATAAAAGAGGGAGAAAATGCAGTTCAGCAAAATCAATGAACCCATCAAATGAGTTTGAAATTGTAGTCAGTGTTCTATACCCACAGTTGTCCACCTCTGCTAAGAAGGGAGGGAGTTGCAATGCCATATCTCTTTTTTGGGGCCAAGCCTGATCATTATAATTTCACAGCACTCACTGATTCTCCCCTCCCTCATTTATACTGTTCTAGTCCCTGTAAATATGGTTTTCTTGGCTTTGCCTACTTCACTTTCCATCATTTCATATGTCTTCCCATGTTTCTTTGTATTCATCATTCTTTACAGGATGGTAATATCCCATTCCATTAAGAGTTTCATAACATAGAGTCTGCAAACAATTTTTTTATAATTGTATTTCAATATGATTTTTTGTTTTGTGATCCTATGTATTTAATTTTATTCATTTAAAACAATAATTCTGAGAAAGGGTCTATAAACTTCACTAGACCTCCAAAGGGGACCATGAGACAAAAAAAGATTAAGGATTCCTGCATGACATTCATGTACCACAATTTTTAAAGGCAGTCAATGGGCATCTAATTTCTTTTCAAACAAAAAACAATACTGTTTAAAATATTTTGGTTTCTTTGGGATTCTTTTTATCATTGCTCTTCTTATGGCATGTGCCTAGTAGTGATATTTCTGGGCCAAAGGATAAAGACATTTTTCCATAACATAGCTTGAAATTGCTTCAAATGAATATTCTTATCCCATGTTTGATGGGTTACAAAACAAAGGAGAGTCATTGGTATCTATCCAACATGTTGTTGAAGTTAGAGTTGGGAGAGCTGGTTCAAGTGTGAAAGAATTCACTTAGACCTTCTCTGCAGCCATTGTTGACGAGTCCAGGTGAACCCTAAGAATTTTGAGATGCTACCTGAAATGATGAGGAATAGACATGTGGGTCCTAGCATCCTGAAAGAATTTACTCAGACAGTCTCTAAGTTAAAGGCATTTAATGGAGTGATATACCCAAGCGGGCCGGCTGTCCTCCACGTGGGAGGCAGAGCACAGGCCACAGGCCCTGCTCTCATAAGAAAGCTGAGCAGTCCCTGATTCCCATAGGAGGCAAAGGCTGTTAGCCAGGTCAAAGGTATGGTTTAAATACAATTTTATGGAATGGGGGAAGGGGACGAGAGAATGGGAGAAGCAAGCACAGCTCCAAAATGTCTGGGATACCAGGTAGTCCGGAGGTGATAATCAAAGAGAACAGGAAAGGGGAGGGGAAGAGCTGTTCTATAGTCGAGGGTGCTTTGTGAAAGCACACAGATAAGTCCATGGTGGGGGCTTCCATGCCTAGTCTTCTTTAATCACTTTTCTGGCTGATCACATCCAGCATCTTATCTCTTATCTTATCTCATATCCTGCTTGCTCCATCTGCCTCAAGCACTCTTTTCTTCCTCATCAATAAAAGAACTTGAGGCAGCCTTCCTACCCATCACATTAGGCAGGGTACCTGTAGTGAATTTAGAGGAGGACATGGAGGAGACCCGCACCTATAATGTATAGGCAAATAAAGATTGTGATCTGTATTCCTGGAGTACTGGAAAACTTATCCTAAATTCATGGTGTGTGTGTGTGGGTGTGTGTGTGTGTGTGTGTGTGTGTGTGTGTGTGTGTGTGTGTGATTTACTTCGTCACTTTGTTACCTTGCCTATTCATAATTCATATAAAAGGTGGGCTTTTGGAAAGTAGGTTACATTACAATACTTTCATAATTCCAGAGAAACTTGGATTTCATCAGTTTGGGGTCACTCTTCACTGATGCACATCTCATTCCCTTCACATCCTGGTAGACAATACTGTTGAATTGCTGTGCTTAAAAAATCAAATCAAATCACTATCCAGTGACCCACCTTTTAGCAATGGACTTCTCTCCTGTTACTTAAATGTTTCTCAGACAGTAGATACACTTTCCCTCCATATGTCTGCTCAAAGCCCGTTCTGAAGAGCTGCCAGATCTTGGCAGACTTTGAGGACTTAGGATCACATCCATACCTTGATGAAGATTTAAAGTGGGACTTTACTATTAAATTACACTTACTTTAAAAAAAAGAAAGAAAGAAAGGTGGCAATTTTTGACCTATTTAAAACACACACACACACACACACACACATTTTGCTGAAATACTTAAAACAGGGACATGATGGTGGAAAATCTCTAGCCAAATTAGGATCAGGAATTTAGATTCCAGATTTAGCCTCCCTCTGGAAATGAGAATACCGATAAGACAGTAACAAAAATAAAGGAGATACTCTGGAACCTTCTCAGATATAGTTGCTGTTAAAAGGTATTCTTTTTCTTTTCTTTGTTTTCCATTGTGCTGCCCTGAGTAATATAAAACCTTGAGAGGATTCACATGCTTAGTGGAAGTGTTTGTTCTGTACAATATACACACCCATGTATGTCAAGTCCTTCGAGGGTCCCACTTCATTTGATCTTTTGCGGCACTTTAACTATGAAATTAAGAATTGATTGTCATGTAGAAAGCTGCACATCCATTTGTTCCAAGTCAGGATTATAATCAGGGCTCTTCAGGATCAAACAGGACACAGTCCCTAAGGGGAAGCTGATATTGGGCCCTTAATTCTCTTTGGATTCTGGAGAAGTTGTTTCTATGTGGCTCCTGACTGATGTTGCTTTTTCCCTTTTGCTTTCCAGGGTAATCAGGAAGCCACAGCAGCTCCTGACACAATGGCACAGCCTTATGCCTCCGCCCAGTTTGCTCCCCCTCAGAATGGCATCCCTGCAGAATATACGGCTCCCCATCCTCATCCCGCTCCAGAGTACACAGGCCAGACTACAGTCCCAGAGCACACGTTAAACATGTACCCTCCAGCGCAGACGCATTCTGAACAGAGTGCCACGGACACGAGTGCGCAGGCTGTCTCCGGCACAGCCACAGTAAGTGTAGCACTTTCATCTTCTTGGATGATTTGGAGAGGGTGTGACCTTGAGCTTGCTTACCTGGGTGGTAAATGGGGAGGTCCATAGTGAGAGGCTTATTAGCCAGAGGGGGCCTATTTCTGGCACCAGGGCGTTATCTCCTCACCCTCAATAGCCTGGAAGAGTTAATTATCCTCTGGAAGATCACAATGGACTTCCTGGAGAATTATACCTTGGTGCTCCAAGTACTGGGCTGTGTGTTTTTCACAGATAAGCCATTCACCACTGAAAATTGGTCAACCTTTTTTTTTTTTCCTCATCACCCTTTGCATCCTCTCTGCCTAGGAGTTTGTCATTCCACTTGAACCAAAGCATTTGCTTCCATTCTCCTCATTTCTTCTGTCTAGATGTAAAAACGAAGTGCTTTTTATACTTGGAACCTTATCCAATTAGGGGTTGAGGACATTTTGGCTAGGAAGTGTCTTTACTTCTTTGCTGGTAGCATCTGTGGCCTTTCTGATTTGAGGATCAAATGTACACTGCTTTTTGTACTTGGAAACATCCAATTAAAGGTTAAAATCATTTTGTTTGGAATTGTATTCATTTCTTTGGTAGCATTAGTGGTCTTTCTGATTTAAGGATTACCACTTTTCATTCCTCTTTTTGGCTGTAAATGGTTAAAAAAAAGTGTGAATGAGATGTTTTGGTTATATTCATTAGTTTTACTCAAGCTGTTTGTGATGGTGGTGGTGGCAGGAGTGGTCTCTGATTAGGATAGAATAAAGTCACATCAGCAAGTAGTTATTACATATATATTTTATGCCCAGTCTCATGCTTTGAGGGCTAGAAAAAAGTTGGAGCCATGTTACTTAGGCTTGAGGAGTTTTTAAGTCTAAAGGGAAGAGAAGATGACTCTACCAAAATTAACTAGAGAACAATAAAGGCTCATAAGATACAAATTAGCATACAAAACTGAAATATTGCAGTACTACAAATAAGGAAGAGATCATCAAGGACTGGAAAATATGTATTATGTTAAAGACACAGATAGCGCAGTGGGAGGCGGGCAGGAGGAAATTTCAAAGAAATGAATAACATAGAAACTTCTAAGATGGACTTTTAAAAAAATCTCTTTCTAAGAAAAAAAGAATTGCTTTCCGTCTTTTTGTTATATTGGTGAGGGACCATAGATTTGTAATATTAGATATTCTATCAGATACGGTTCATTGTTAACTTTGTTAAATTGCATTTTCTCTCTCTCATAAAAAACTTTGTTACGCAGGGTGGCTAGCTGATTAGGGTCAGCCCAGCTAACAAACATTTATTAAGCTTCTTCTATGTGCTATGCACTATTCAGAGGGCCAAAGGTACAAAGAAAGGCAAGGGAGGAAAAAGGGGACATACTCAGGAGTGAATGTAATATAAAAATAAAAAGCAAAAAAAAAAATTAATTTAATTATTTATTTAAAAGGGGGAGGTATCTTGTTCTCTGTGATCCTGTTTCTTATCTGTCACGTGTTCCTATTGTTTGGAGTGGTGTAATACAGTACAAATCATGAAATTGGAGTCAGAAGACCCGAGTTTAAATCCTGTTCTGCTTCCTGTGTCACCTGACGAGTCATATAGCTTTTCCTGGTCTGTTTTCTTATCTGTAGAATAAGGAGTTAGAACTGCATCATTTCCAGGGCCTTTCTAGCTCTGTAATTCATGTTACTGTGACTCTATAGCCAGGAGAAGGAATTCTTATGTGTCTGCCTTCCTCTAATTCCAACTGTGACCTCAGAGAAGCAGCTGTCTGTGTCAGGACTTGACTCTTTCACAGAATATGAATATAGGAATAGAATAAATTCAATATACAGCCCCTCCAGCCCAAGATTCTGTCTGGTTCAGGGGCAACATAGAAGGTTTATGGGCACTGGCCACTACTGTGTCTTAAATGGATTAGAGTACATACCTTGGGCATCTTTAAAGTTCTCTTAGCTTATGAGCACAGTGCCTAGTGCCTATATCAGTGTAAATGCTCAGTCTGTCACAGTGGACTCCATTAGGCAAGTTTGAAAAACTAATAGTAGGTGCAGGTAAGAAAGAAAAATCACCCATATGACGTGACTACATATTTTCCAGTGCTCCTACTGCATACAGTGAATGCATACGATTTAACACATAGCACAGAGCATATATAATGTGAGTCTGAATATACCCAGAGCTACCACAGCATCTGAAAAGTAAAGGTTCAGAGAACTTATTAGGTCATCCAGTCAAATCCCCAAGGGCCAAGATAGTTCCCTACAGGACATTTTCTGCTGAATTCAGACTTAAAGTAGGGCTCAAAAATATCATACATCAGTTTGCTGACAGAGCTAATACTGTTATATATTATATACTACTCCTGACAAGGTATTTTACTCTTGACATATTATAATCAGAAATTTGCAAGTAGAGAATTCGCTAAGTATCTCCACTAGCAACTTAACATCTATTTTTAACACCTCTGCAATCTGCTGAAAGTCTCCCACAACCTTCCCATCAGATTCATACACTCCTAATGGGAGCCAACAAGGGTGTCCTAGAGATAGGCACAACAGCAAAATGCTCTGTGGCCTTTGAGAACATACCTTTAATGAGCCAGACTCTTCCTGCATTTTAGCTACTCACTACCTGCAATGGCGTTAGACATCTCTGGCAGCTGCATTAACTCCTTCAACATGATAAGGTAGTCTCTCTTTTTTTCTTTTTTTTTTTTTAAATTTATTGAAGGAGTTAATATTGAATCACAGGGGAAAAAGTCTTGGTGTTTTTTTTTTGTGTGAGTTGTGTGGTTCACACTTCTGTAATGGAGAAAGTCTTACAATCCACGTGAGTCTTCTAGTGCAATGAGATAGACTGGATCTTTGCTGGTGGCTTAGATAGCAGTTATCTGACCTCAGGAGGGGTGCACGCACACCTGCAGGTTTCTTGAAAAGATGAGCAAGCAAAATCCTCACTTCCTTGTGAGGCAATTTTTGCTCTGTACGCTATGTGTTCCTTATAGTACCTTCGTTTTGAGGTTAGCAACCTTACTGCTATGATGCTGCCTCTCGGGTGAGATAACCTGTGTTAAGTGCTTTGCAAACCTTAAAGCACTATACAAATGCTAGCTATTATTCTTACTAGTTTTATTGATTATCATTATTATTATTTTTGGAAGAAGCTCCTCTAGGCCTTCTCTTTCTCTTTCATTTTCATCCACTCTGGAAACTGCATGATTTAATCGCTCAGAACAAAGCAACTTGAGTATAGTTTTCTAAAACTAGTTCACAGAGCAGAATTTTAACTTCAAAATATTCATTTTTTTAGCTCTTCAAGTTTTCTCATGACCCTATGAGGCAGGTAAAACAAATATGATCATCCCCATTTTACAGATGAGGAAGCTAAGGCTCAAAAAAGTGAAGTAACTTCTCTAGTCATAAAGTTAGTGGTAGAGCCTGGATTAAACCTAGTTCTTTGGTCTTCTAGAGTAGTAGGGTTTTTGTTGTTGTTGTTGTTGTTGTTGTTTTTGTTTATTATACCACTGTCTCTCATCCATGTACCTTTATATCTCTTCCTTACCCCACCCAATACTTATTCTCTCTGCCAAAAACCAAAAACAATGCCCTTCTCATTCCCTCTCCCCCTCCCAAATCTCTACTAATAAAACTGTGAGCTCTTTTTCTGAGTGATTCTATTCTTACTTGCCAATGGCTATCTCAATATGCTTCCACCAAAAGACATTGTAATAATAATAATAATCACAACTAACACTTATGTAGTGCCTACTATGTGCCAGGCACTGTGCTAAATGCTTTACAATTATTACTCATTTGGCCTATCTATAAGCATTTATTAAGCACCTATGCTAAGTGCTGGGGATACAAAAAGAGGCAAAAGACAGCCCCTGCCTTTTAGGAGCTTACAATGTAAGCGGAGAGACAACATGCAAGTAAATATATACCAAATATACAGCATGCAAAGCAAGCGATATAAACGATAAATAGGAAATAATTAACAGAGGGAAAGCACTAAAATTAAGTGAAGTGTGGAAAGGTTTCCAGTAGAAGGTAGGATTGAAGTTGATACTTAAAGGATGTCAAGGAGGTCAGTAGTCAGAGTGGAGGAGGGAAGACATTTTCAGCACGGAGGAGAGCCAGAGAAAATGCCCAGAGCCCAGATTTTTTGTTTGTGTTTTGTTTGTGCAACAGCCAGGAGGCCAGTGTCACTGGCTCAAAGAGTATGTGGTGGAGAATAAGATGTAAGAAGACTGCAAAGTTAGGAGGGGGCTAGATTACGAAGGGCTTTGAATGCCAGAGTACTTTATATCTGCTCCTGTTCAGGTTATAAGAGACAGAGATTAAGTAACTTGCACAGAGTCACACAGCTTATAAGTGTCTGAGGCTAAATTTAAACTCAGGCCCAGTGCTCTATCCACTGTACCACCTAGTTCTTCAATGAGTGGAGAAAGCCTGGTTAGGTCATGTGTTCTCCATACTTAGGAAAACATGGATTCAAATCCTGGCCAAGATATATACTGACTGTAATTCTAGGCAAATTACTTAACTTCATAATATCCCTGGCAATCCTCTAAGATTATAAATTGCAGTTAAGAAGTTCTTCATTGATAAAGTCATGGTCCTGTTTTTTTTTTTTTTCCCTAAGTGTTTATAGATCTATCTGTAGTCACAGTACTCAAGCTTTCTTCCCCACCCCTGACTCCTTTACACTTTTTAAATTATTGAGGATAATCCCTCCCCCCATTCCCCAAAGCTTTTGTTTATATGGGTTATATCTATCAATATTTACCATATTAGAAATTAAAATGTTACTGTGATTAAAATAGTTTTGACCTCATGGACCCCCTAAAATGGGATTCCTAAACCATACTTTGAGAATTATTGGTCTGTAACTCTAAATGACTGTATACAAGCACATACAAATATGAAAGGCAGTAGGGTTCTAGTGAAAGGGCTTAGAATTAGGAATAACTAGGACCCTGACCTAGCTGT